TTGGAGAAACATGGACACTGAGCACATCACCAACAGGTCTTCTCTACCACCTGCATCGCACTGCTACTGTAAACTTCCCAACGGAGGGTTACACCTTACAGGCTGTTTACAGGAAGTTTTCCCGTTTCTATCACATTTTGTGTACTAAAAATACCACGCACTAGTCAAAGAGCAACAATTAGTTTCAGAGACCGCCTTGGTTAAGTACTGCTCCCTTCCTAACGCTAAGGGCACGTCAGTCTGTGTTTATGCATTTATACAGACATACATTTAAAAGCGGCCCCTTCGGCTTCATGAAAAAACCTCTCGTGGATAAAACGAAGCTTGTCCCGAAGCGGTCAAAGCGCCCTGTTTGCAGCGCGCGGAAGCCTGCTGTATTTAGCTTGCTATCTAGAGCAAGTTTCATGCAGCACGGCTGGTTTATTTTGACAGTTGCAATAGCCTCAAGGACAAGACTAGCCCAGCAAACGAAACCAGTCAACATCCAGCCGTACATCCATGAGAAACACTCGATGCGTTCCCCCATCAGGCGCGGAGTAAAAGCTGTCGAGCCGTCACCCAGCTGCGAGGGTGAGATGCGGGACCGCGCGTGGCCGGCACCCCAACGGGGTCAAGTGCTGCGCGCAGATAAGCAGATGGTCCCTGCTCTCAACCATTTGCAATCTTACCAACAGGTTTGCCAATTCAGGCCTATTAATCCTTCTTCGTGCTGAATTTTTGCGCACAGCTGTTATAATAGAGTGTGTAACTATAATCTGTATTCCTCGTTATTTTATTCCCAAACACTTCAGTAGGTGCGTATAGAGAACAGTGCTAGAAAAGAGCGAGAGAAGCAGATGCTAACACGCGGGTATTATCACCACACAATGACGACGACCGAGCTGATTGTTCAAGACTGCTGAAAACGCAGGGACACCAAGCAAAGGCAGAATTTACTGCATACGTAGTTACCTGATTATTAACCCAAGTGCATCAAGGCAGAACAAAGTTAGTGCCGTGAGACATAAGTGAAATATTCCAGGTTACAGAGAAAATCACACAGATCAAGTCCCACGGAAAGCCTTCCCGTTCAGACCCTTTTTGAAAAGGGAGTCTGTGGAGTGCGGTTAACCCCTTAGTGAAAGCCTTCTGACAAAGACTTAAATGCTCTGAAACAAAGGTTTTTAATTACTAGGCTGGTTTTCCAGCAGCACCATAATTAGAGGCTGCCAAAATTTCCACTGGCAGCTATTTATGAGGGGTAACAACTTGACCGTTTCAACCCCAACTGCAAAGAGACTTGGCAGAACTCATCGGCCCAGATGCAAGTTTAGTCTGGCAAAGTTAGACCTGCCCTGGTCCAGCTGACTCCTCCTCTCCCTCCCACATGAACAACAACGGGCTCAAAAGGCATCCTCAATTGCTTTGCAGGCTGCAAATCCATGCTATGAATTAAACCCCTGTGAGTATAAAAGAAAAGGCAAATTGTGTCAGGTGATGCATCACAGAGCAGGCTCCGGATCCTGACCTCACCTCTAGGAAAATGTTAAGTAAGCCGAAATTTGAACTGCGGAAAGCACAACAGTGGAGAAAACTCACGCAGGCCTTTCAAAAGATCCCTTCTCTACCGATAAAGGAAGCCACAGCGACCACGAAGCCAACAAATCTAAAGCGCTGGAAAAGACACTTGGTCGGCTGTGTGGAAATAGGACGGTATCCCGTTACGTCAGACCCGACGGCAGAGCAGGGCCGAGTTGCTGTTGTGTTGTCAACGGAGAAGCGGATCCGTGCACGCTCCTGCCGGCCAGTGTCAGGATGAAATGACATCACCGGAAATCTGCTATTGTTGCTATTACGGCATCCGCCCCAGCCTCGACTGGAGCCCCGTTGTGCAATGAATTTTTTAGGCACGGCGAGAAGCAGCCCGCGCTACAGCGAGCTTGCAAGCCTAGATCAAGCCAAAGCGGAGCACAGGAACAAAGCAGAAGGGGTCAAGCAACATCCTTTACCCCGAGCGTGGAACAAGTGCACGCAGGAACGGAGCAGCATTGAGTGCCGCCAGCTCTCAGCCCTGCGCTGCGCTATGAATTGCAGGACCGGCGCCGCCATCCCCAGAACGGCAGAGACAAAAGGTGGAGAAGGCCGAAGGACTGACTTCTACCCTCCGCTCTCAGCGCTTCGATTCAGAAGCGGAAGTTGTTAGCAGCTACCACGGATTTTGAAAGAGTCAGCAGGGTCATATGAAGCACACGGAAAGATTTTTAAACCCCACAGCCTTAGCGCAATATAAAATCAGGAGCGTTCGGCTCCCCCACGTTATCTCGACAGCCACGCTCTCCTCCCCACCCTAGCGCATCCCAGGCCGCGTGTCAATCCCTTATCCTGCCAATTCCGACCGGCTCTACAGCAGGGTCCTGACACCCCTCCGCTCCTGGGAGAGGCCTGGCAGAGAGCTCAGCCCTATCACAAGGGCACACAGCTGAACGGCACCAAACACGAAAGCCGCCCAAACCCAGGTGCAGCGATGACTCCAGGCCTAAGGCTATCAGAGTGGAAACAGAAGCGTCTTTAGGATGCAACTCAGCATTAACCTTTGTAAGTTAACACGGTCATGTTGAAAATTATAAACCGGAGCAAGACCATGCTCTAACGCTGTCAGGTCTCTTGTCAAGCATCGCAACGGGATGCCGTGCCGGTTGTTTCTGATCAAGCCTGGGCTTCCCCTGTCTCCGCTTTACACATTTGCACTCCGCAGGTCAGCCCAGCGTTTCTGGAGCGCCTTCCGGGCACCCGCGCAGGAACTCAAGGATGCTGACGGCCGTCAGGAC